CTCCAAAAGCATCAAATCTCAATGGAAATCTCCAAATTTTCAATAGAAATCTCCATCCAAAAGCCTCCAAAAGAATCAAATCTCAATGGAAATCTCCAAATGTTTGATAGAAATCTCAATCCAAAAGCCTGTAAGATAAGCAAATCCCAGCAAATTCAAAAGGGAAAAAGTAAACTATAACAATAAAAAAAAATCCACTACAACTACCCCTCCAAAAAAAAAAGACATTATTCTAGGGGCCTTTATTAATCAGTGCAGGGGAAAAAAAAGACATAATTCTAGGGGTCTTTATTAATCTGAGGACTACATTAGTTGCTGGTTGTAGTTGGTGGCTTGGAGGAGGGCCTTCTACCGAAACACTGGTAGCACTCGTTCGTCTCGTTCGCTCGTCACGTGTCGACCGATCCACCAGGAGCAGTGCGGAGGGCACGTTTCGGACCCAGGTGCGTTGCGGAGGTAGCAGATGATGGACATGATCCAACTCGGAGGGAGGGAGGGACCTTCTACATGTATGCAGAATATATACATTATAACATGATATGTCCTGTATATTAGCTGCAAGTTTAGATGTAAATTGCAGCAATCATGTAGCAGATATTGTTGCAGTTGATGGGCGTCCATCGTCCACCACGATGGACGTGACGTGAAAAAAGGAATCGGTCAATCTTTCAGGCATGTGGTGCCGAGAAAGTTACACAGACCTCAAGATGTCTTTTAGATGGGCCCATATAAACCACCGACATTGGGGTCTGTGCCATTGGTCCTCTCAATCCACTGTCTACAATTCTTGTGATAGAATCCATCATCCGTTTTCGATGAATCAAGCTTGACCGATTCATCAGGCGTGGCGTTTCGGATGGACCTGCTGTCGGATCTGGTGGACTCTTATGTTCTCTACCTGATGGTGTTTCTTCCTGAAAAGAGTTGAGTGTTGTAGTAATTAGTGGAGAGCAAGGTGTTCATTCATGCAAATGGGACATTCTTTTGACACGACCTGAGGCTGAACGTGCAACAGACAGGGCGGACAACAGACAGGGCGGAACACTCAGGCTCATGCTGTTTTTGATGGGTTTTGGATGCTTGACATGAGGAGTGAAGTCTTTGATGATCAGCTAAGTTGCTCGGTGAACACAATGTTGTTGACGGAATTGTCCACCTTCAGGCAGATGGGCTCGACATCCAAGGAGAAAGCAACTTCCTGATTCGTTACTTTTCCTCCCAACTTCTCTACTTTCTTCCCACCACCGCGCACCATGGCAGAGTCTCCCGATGAGTCCGCTTCCGACTATCAGTCTGGTTCGGAGGATGAACGCCTTGATTTCGGTCAACATCCGGATCCCCACGCCCCGTCGCATTGGGCTTATACTGAAATCTTTTTTCAAAAGACCAAGAAGGAGCTTGCGAAGACTCGGCATGAGAATCACAAGCTCGAGTCTCATGTCAAGCACCTTCAAGAGAAAATTAAGACAGAAAAGGACAAGATTAAGAAGACTAAGATTGTGGAAGGGATCTTAAAGAACCAAGGCTCTCCCAGAGTGAATGACTTGAAGGAACGGCTGGCCGCATCCAGAAGTGCGAATGCCGAGGCACAGCTTTCTGCTGGAGAAGCGTGGGCTGCCGCTGAGAATGCCAAGATGCAAACTACGCAGCTCAGAAAGAAGTATGAGGACGAATTGCAAAAGGTTGCTTCAGCCAAAGAGGTGGACGAGGAAATCTCGCAAAGGCTTGCACGCAGAGTGGAGGAGCTTCAAGTTCTGCTTCGCGATCTCTCCGACCCCTTCAGCTGCGGCTGTGCCGACGCCCGGTCGGCGCATCCGGTGGAGGTGTCCTACGTTTGCAGGACTCAGTCCATCCCTGAGTGCCGAAGCAATTGCCAAGCTGAAGAATGGCATCGGGCTTAAACCATGTTGAGTCCTTCTGAGAAGATGGATTTCACAAATCCATATATGCAGGGCTGCACATGAACAAAAAGGGGACTGCATCGAAAATCGAAGCCATCAGGTTCCACTGGCGTTCAGTAGTGTATGTTCAAATGGGGTCCACTAGTGAGATGATGCAGTCTCGACTCAACCGGAGACTTCGAAAATCGTGTCCTCGGAGAGTGCTTAACATCGTCCCAAAGTTGGATTGAGGAATAGCACTGCGACTTTTCGCTGCACCCCAGAGTTCTCATGGCAACAATCAGGTTCTGGATTTGTTTGCTCTAGAAAGGCCTTAAGGCGGCCTTATTGCTTGGCATATTATAAAACAAGACGTCAAAGAGTCAAGATGTTTGGGTGCAGCTTCCAGGACGGATGGTCCGTATGACACTTTGCCATGTTTGGTAAGTGTCTTTGATCATGCCGCAGTTTATGGTCCAGCCAGACTTAACTTTGAGCCTGCTGGCGATGAAAGGATGAACTTGGATGTCGTTGACTTGGTCTCAACACTTGACTTTGGCGGAAACGTATCGAATTCGATGTAGTCAAGAGATGTGCTTCGGCAAAACGGCTGCGCAGCATGCTTAAGCACAGCCGTGCCCAGGATGATCGATCAGTCGGAGCATGTCGGAGCAATGGGAGGTCGCAAAGCTGCGAACGTTGGAAGGACAGGTGCGCTGCCGAACTCCTGGAATCGGGTGCCGGATATGGGGTTTCTTGCAGAGCAGAGAAGAGTGATGGCGGAGAGTGATCAGTTCAGATCGGCCGGGTATTCATGTAAATGGGATAAATCGAGCAGAGTTTCTTCTATGAAACCCTGAGGCTGAGGCTGGAAGAGTATGGCTTGCAGAACCCTTTTAGGCGGCTCGCTCACGCTGTTTCGGATGGATTTTGGGTGCTGGATGACATGAGGAGTGTACTATTCTTGATCAACTCAGTTGCTCCACTTCATTCTTTTGCATGTTTGCCCCAGTCATGGTGAACACAATGTTGTTAACGGAATTGTCCACCTTCAGGCAGATGGGCTCGAATGCAAGTAGATGCAAGTAGACAAGCACAGCAATATCACATTCCATGATCAGCCAGCGCAAAACTGGGGTAAGATTAGCGCAATCATGTAAAGTGTACCCTCTTCTATTCCTCAACCCAGGGCATCCAATTTCCACTATAGCTCCTGTAAGCAGTGGTTCCAAAGACTAAAACCATAGACCTAGAACCCCTGGTTCCTTATATAGTGGTTTGCCTGCGATCCACTGGGTAATTCTTTCTTCACCCGATTTCGGGGCGCGCACCATGGCAGCCCCGCGCTCCGAGCGCCCACCCTGTCCATGTCACGTGGACTCGGATTCCGAGCATGAAGCCTACCCGGAGGGAGCTCCACATCCGAACGCCGAGGCTCCGTGGCATCGGAGGTTTTCTGAAGTACTTCTTCGAAGGACCAAGTCCGAACTGGCAGAAGCTCGGCATGAGAATCACCATCTCAAGCACCAGAAGCACCATCTGGAAGGTAGATTTCAAGAGATCAAGAAGGCGCACCGCAAGGTCAAAAAATCCGTCGTGGCTTTAGAGAACAGGGCCTTCCCCCGGATCACAGACTTGAAAGAAATCCTTCGGGAATCCAAGCTTTCGCAGCAAGAGGCACTTCGTCAGGCTGAAGAGTGGAGAGCTTTGGTTGAGCAGGAAGAGAAAGAACAAGAGCGCCTCAAAGCCATCCATTTCGCCGAATTGGACCGAGTGACTTCAGCCAAACGTCTGCAAGAAGAAACCTCGCAAAAACTTGCAAGAAAGGTCGAGGAACTTGAAGCCTTGCTCCGGAAGGCGGTAGTCGATCTCTCGAAGGCGGAGGACGTTTGTCAAGCTTGTCATCAGGCAAGTTTGGATCAACTGCGCTGCGCCGGCTGTGCTGACGCCAAGCCGGCGCCGCCAGTGGAAGTGTTCGTATGTTTGCCGGGATCAGATCCATGTGTGCCGAACCAGTTGCCAAGCTAAGCAAGTGCATTGCTGAGAAGAACTGATAGGATGGATTAATTCACATTCAGACGTGCACGTGGAAATTGGGACTGGGTTAAGTCGGTTCAAATACGTGTTTTCCTCCTGGAAGGTGCAGGGCAATCCATCCCCTTCCGCCAAAATCCATCAATCATAATCATGATAATCATGAATTGGGGGTCGTGCATTAGGGGGCCCACAATTGGTGATCTCAGAGTATCTCAGACTTCTTTTTGGAGAGAGCTGGTCATCGTCCCAAAGTTGGATTGAGGAAAGGCTCTGCGTCTGTTGCTGCACCCACAGCAAGATTGCAAGAATCAGCTTCTAGATTCTGGTTTGCTTGTTCTTCTTCCCAGAGGCCCTGGTGAAAGAAATGCACACACATGGGTGTTTCATGGTGTTTCAGTCATGTTGAACCCCTTTCCGTGACAGCTTGGGTGCAGATTCTTGGGTGCAGCTTTCAAGAAACATGATACCTTACCGAGTTTGGTAAGAGTCTCCTACCCCGCCGCAGTTTCTTGTCCCGCTGGACTTCGAAGAAGCCAGCGAAGCCTTTTCGCGCTCGGATCGCGCTTCTTTCGAAAAACTTGGGTGTTGACGTGTTCAGTTGAAGTGTTTTCAATATTGAAAATGGCAAAAGGCACCTGAAAGACGAACACAAGACATCCCAGTCTTGCAAGAGTTGCTCGAAAAGTGTGCGGACGGGTCACAACTGTCAATTCAGCCATTCAACCCTGTTGGTCTCGCCCTTGACCGCCTTGACCCCACATATTATCAGAATTCCGCAAGAACCCAATGGCGTTGCAGCCAAGCTTTGGCGCGGAACACCCAAACCCAAAGATGGGGGTGATTTGAGATGCGCACAGCTTTCGGAGGACAGCTTTCAGCTTCTGGGAGAGGTTGCTTTTTGCAGGGATTGTGAAGAACTTTTTTGTTAGGCTTTGGAGGAGGATGGGCATCCGACTTTGGGGCCATCCCTCGGGTCATGTGCTGAGCTTTTACTCCCTAGGGGACCTGCAGAGCCCTAGTTAGACCCGTCGGGTTTCACAAGAACATCACTATTTTGAACCTGGAGATGTGGGCCTGCAACTGAACCATCATCATCTGGGCCCAGAGGTTTTGGGATAGGGGGTGGCTTAAAAAAGTATTCCAGGGGTCATCTGACCTACTGGAATAGTTTTTTGGAATAATATTTCTGGAATAATATTTTACCTAGGTAGTGGTTCAAGGTACTACCTATAAATTTGGAATAATTTTTGGAATAACATTCCAAGATGTACACACATGTACATACATGAGAGAGATACCAGAAGAACCCAGAGGTACGTACTGTGAAGATTTGAAACCAGCTTCATGATTGTTCTGAGCCGAGCATGACATCGTAGCCGGACGGGACACGATCGGGACACCTATACGGTCACGACAGGTGCTCGAATCCCGGTGAACCTTTTAGGCCTTGAGCCTCTCGAGGTGGGCAGAAGAAAAGCTGTCCGCCAGGGTTCTCGCGCTTTGACACTGGTAGGCGGAGCCTATTTTGGCTCTTCGGTTGGCGTGCCATTGTGTTCGTGCTTAGCTGGACGCTCTCACCCCACTGAGGGAGCTTGGTTGTTGGTGACAGGTGACTGCCGTACAGTGCTTTCATTTTGTCGAGGCTGGCCAGGGTGATATTTGGACACTTTTATACCGGAATTGTTGATTCACGAGTATTGGTGTACTGTATCCTGTGGTGGTTGCCGTTGGAATTGAGTGCACAATTTTGATTTTTGAGCCCACAGTTTCACATTGCACGGATTTATTTGAGTTTTGAGGATGTCGAGCTCTTCAGGACAGTCGCTTTTTGTTGACCCCAAGTCCAACGTGGTTCACTATGATGGAAGCCCGAAGCTGGCTGAAGAATATGAGGAGAGGGTCTGGCTGGGATTTCAGACGGTCCCAAAAGATGACAAGGTCAGCTACGCCGCCAAGTTGAAGAACACCATATTTGGGAGAGCTTGGACCCTCTGTCATCGCAAGCCTGAGATCGCGGCCCAGAAGCTCCTCCAGCTCAGCGAGGCCGAAGCAAGCGCCAGTGCAGGTCCCAAAGCAGCTGTTCAGTTGGTGGTGAAGACGGTCAGAGCTGCATGTGAGAAGGTCGCTCCATTGCTGAAGACTCAGACCTTTGAAGATTACTTCTTCGACAAGGGACGGCGCCGCTTGGGAGAGAGCATCCAGGACTACATCAGCAGAAGAGAGAGCGAGTATGAGAAGCTGACAGGACTTACACAGGGTCATACAAAGCTCTCCACCGACCTCCAGGCCTTTTTCCTTTTGAGGAATGCAGGTGTGAACCCAAGCCAGCACAGAGCCATTTTGGGCCAGGCTGGAAATGAATATGATTGGGACAAGATCGTGGAGGCCATGCTCATTCAGCTTGATGGTGGAGATGAGTTGACTGGCAAGGGATGGAAAGGAGACTGCAAGTCTTGCTCGCAAAACAGCTTTGGCTCGGGAGGAAAACGAAGCTCTTGGGCCTTCCCCATCGAAGAAGAATGGTCAAGCTATGATGGGGAGACCGAGGAAGCCTATGCCATTGATGAATGGTATGCAGAAGAGCCAACAGATGATGACATCCCGATCTATGAGGTTGAAGAGGACATTCAACATGACATTGAAGAGATGGAGCATGCAGTTGAAATCATGACAGTTGAGGATTTGACCAACGAGGAATTGGATGTCTTCGCGGCTGCAATCCAAAAGATGGGAAAAGGTGCTTCCGAGTATGCCAGAAAGAGGCAGGCAGTGAGAGATGGGAAGACCAATCGTGGTTTTCAGCCGCAATCCAATGCCATCGGTCACAACAAAACAGCAATAGCATTGGATGGGAAGTTGACACTCAATGCAGGACAGCTCCAAGACAAGATCCAACAGGTGAAGGCTCGCACACAATGCTACGATTGTGGTCAGAAGGGTCATTGGCGTGGCGATCGAAGTTGCCCCAAGAGCCCCGGGTCACCCAGCTCCAAAGGTGGCAAGAAAGGCCATGGAAAGAAGGGTGGCAGGAAAGGAGGTTTCTTGCAGCGAGCAGGCATGGCAGCAGCAATGTTGGCGTCAGCATCAGGTCAGTTGCTTCAGTCGTGCCACGAAGCATTGTCATGTGTTGGTGCGAATGAGTTGGCTGATTATTTTGATCTGGCATTTCACATCGAAGGGGATCATGACATGTTTCCAAACCTGGGGGACTATGATGAAATGTTGAATGAAGTGGAAGCCTACATGACCCAGAACCTTGAGACAGAAGCAATTCCACACAGTTT